TGTCATGTAATTTGCCTCACTAATTTTTATTTTACACCCAGTGGAATCTATTTCGCAGATGCTCGAGACTAACTATACTCTGCTTCTGCATCTCCAGCGAGTGTTACGCCCGCCTTGTAGAAATAACTTTCTGAACTCATCTTAATTATCTGTGCTCACACATGTGCTTCTTATGATGTGCAATTACAAAGCGTTTGTCATATTCCGCATCTCCACCCACCTCCCATACACATCCACCAACCTCCCATGCACGTCCACCCACTTCCCATACACGTCCACCCACCTCCCTTACACGTCCTTCCACCTCCTAAACACATCCACCCACCTGCCTTACACGTCCTTCCACGTCCCATACACGTCCTTCCACCTCCCATACACGTCCACCCACCTTCCATACACGTCCACCCGCCTCCCATACACCTGCAGCCACCTCCCTTACACCTGCAGCCACCTCCCTTACACGTCCTTCCGCCTCCCAAACACATCCACCCACCTCCCTTACACGTCCTTCCACCTCCCATACACGTCCTTCCACCTCCCATACACGTCCACCCGCCTCCCATACACGTCCACCCGCCTCCCATACACCTGCACCCGCCTCCCATACACCTGCAGCCACCTCCCTTACACGTCCTTCCGCCTCCCATATACGTCCATCCATCTCCCAAACACATCCACCCACCTCCCTTACACGTCCTTCCACCTCCCATACACGTCCTTCCACCTCCCATACACATCCATACACCTCCCATACACGTCCTTCCACCTCCCATACACGACCATCCATCTCCCATACACGTCCATCTATCTCCCAAATACGTCCACCCACCTCCCTATACGACCATCCACCTCCCATCCACCTCCCATCCACCTCCATCCACCTCCCATCCACCTCCCATCCACCTCCATCCACCTCCCATACACGTCCACCCACCTCCCTATACGACCATCCACCTCCCATCCACCTCCATCCATCTCCCATACACGTCCATCTATCTCCCATACACGTCCACCCACCTCCCTATACGACCATCCACCTCCCATCCACCTCCATCCACCTCCCATACACGTTCATCCACCTCCCATTCACGTCCTTCCATCTCCCATACACGTCCATCCACCTCCCACACACGTTCATCCACCTCCCATACACGTCCATCTACCTCCTATACACGTTCATTCACCTCCCATACACGTCAATCCACCTCCCATACACGTCCACCCATCTCCCATCAACGTCCACTCACCTCCCATAAACGTCCATCCACCTCCATCCATCTCCAATAAAGTCCACTCACCTCCCATACACGTCCATCTACCTCCCATACACGTTCATTCACCTCCCATACACGTCAATCCACCTCCCATACACGTCCACCCATCTCCCATCAACGTCCACTCACCTCCCATACACGTCCATCCACCTCCATCCATCTCCCATAAACGTCCTTCCACCTCCCATACATGTCCATCCACTTCCCATACACGTCCATCCACCTCCTTATACTTCCATCCACCTCCCATACACGTCCATCCACCTCCATCCATCTCCCATATACGTCCTTCCACCTCCCATACACGACCATCCATCTCCCATACACGTCCATCTACCTCCCATATACGTCCACCCACCTCCCTATACGACCATCCACTTCCCATCCACCTCCATACCCCCCATACACGTTCATCCACCTCCCATACACGTCCTTCTATCTCCCATACACGTCCATCCACCTCCCATACACGTTCATCCACCTCCCATACACGTCCTTCCATCTCCCATACAAGTCCATCTACCTCCCATACACGTTCATTCACCTCCCACACACGTCAATCCACCTCCCATACACGTCCATCCACCTCCATCCATCTCCCATATACGTCCATCCACCTCCCCATACGACCATCCACCGACCATCCACCTCCATCCACCTCCCATACACGTCCATCCACCTCACACACACGTCCATCCATCTCTCATACACGTCCATCCACCTCCCACACACGTCCATCCACCTCACACACACGTCCATCCATCTCTCATACACGTCCATCCACCTCCCGCACACGTCAATCCATCTCCAATACACGTCCATCCACTTCCCATACAGGTCCACCCACCTCCCTATACGACCATCCACCTCCCATCCACCTCCATCCACCTCCCATACACGTTCATCCACCTCCCATACACGTCCATCTACCTCCCATACACGTTCATTCACCTCCCACACACGTCAATCCACCTCCCATACACGTCCATCCACCTCCATCCATCTCCCATATACGTCCACCCACCTCCCTATACGACCATCCACTGACCATCACCCTCCATCCATCTCCCATACACGTCCATCCACCTCCCACACACGTCCATCCATCTCCAATACACGTCCACCCACCTCCCTATACGACCATCCACTTCCCATCCACCTCCATCCACCTCCCATCCACCTCCATCCACCTCCCATACACGTCCACCCGCCTCCCATACACCTGCACCCGCCTCCCATACACCTGCACCCACCTCCCTTACACGTCCTTCCGCCTCCCATACACGTCCATCCACCTCCCATCCACCTCCATCCACCTCCCATACACGTCCACCCGCCTCCCATACACGTCCATCCATCTCCCAAACACATCCACCCACCTCCCTTACACGTCCTTCCACCTCCCATACACGTCCTTCCACCTCCCATACACATCCATACACCTCCCATACACGTCCTTCCACCTCCCATACACGACCATCCATCTCCCATACACGTCCATCTACCTCCCAAATACGTCCACCCACCTCCCTATACGACCATCCACCTCCCATCCACCTCCGATCCACCTCCATCCACCTCCCATACACGTTCATCCACCTCCCATACACGTCCTTCCATCTCCCATACACGTCCATCCACCTCCCATACACGTTCATTCACCTCCCATACACGTCAATCCACCTCCCATACACGTCCACCCGTCTCCCATAAACGTCCACTCACCTCCCATACATGTCCATCCACTTCCCATACACGTCCATCCACCTCCCTATACTTCCATCCACCTCCCATACACATCCATCCACCTCCTATACACTTCCACTCACCTCCCATACACGTCCATCCACCTCCCATACACGTCCTTCCACCTCAATCCATCTCCCATATACGTCCTTCCACCTCCCATACACGACCATCCATCTCCCATACACGTCCATCTACCTCCCATATACGTCCACCCACCTCCCTATACGACCATCCACCTCCCATCCACCCCCATCCACCTCCCATACACATTCATCCACCTCCCATACACGTCCTTCCATCTCCCATACACGTCCATCCACCTCTCATACACGTTCATCCACCTCCCATACACGTCCTTCCATCTCCCATACACGTCCATCTACCTCCCATACACGTTCATTCACCTCCCATACACGTCAATCCACCTCCCATACACGTCCACCCATCTCCCATAAACGTCCACTCACCTCCCATAAACGTCCATCCACCTCCCATACACGTCCATCCACCTCCATCCATCTCCCATAAACGTCCACTCACCTCCCATACATGTCCATCCACTTCCCATACACGTCCATCCACCTCCCTATACTTCCATCCACCTCCCATACACATCCATCCACCTCCTATACACTTCCACTCACCTCCCATACACGTCCATCCACCTCCCATACACGTCCTTCCACCTCAATCCATCTCCCATATACGTCCTTCCACCTCCCATACACGACCATCCATCTCCCATACACGTCCATCTACCTCCCATATACGTCCACCCACCTCCCTATACGACCATCCACCTCCCATCCACCTCCATCCACCTCCCATACACGTCAATCCACCTCCCATACACATCCATCCACCTCCTATACACTTCCACTCACCTCCCATACACGCCAATCCATCTCCCATACACGTTCATCCACCTCCCATACACGTCCATTCACCTCCCTATACTTCCATCCACCTCCCATACACATCCATCCACCTCCCACACACGTTCATCCACCTCCCATACACGTCCTTCCATCTCCCATACACGTCCATCTACCTCCCATACACGTTCATTCACCTCCCATACACGTCAATCCACCTCCCATACACGTCCACCCATCTCCCATAAACGTCCACTCACCTCCCATAAACGTCCATCCACCTCCCATACACGTCCATCCACCTCCATCCATCTCCCATAAACGTCCACTCACCTCCCATACACGCCAATCCACCTCCCATACACGTTCATCCATCTCCCATACACGTCCATTCACCTCCCTATACTTCCATCCACCTCCCATACACATCCATCCACCTCCTATACACTTCCACTCACCTCCCATACACGTCAACCCAACTCCCATCCACCTCCATCCACCTCCCACACACGTCAATTCACCTCCCATACACGTCCATCCACCTCCCATCCACCTCCATCCTGCTCCCACACACGTCCATCCACCTCCAATACACGTCCATTCACTTCCCATACACGTCCACCCACCTCCCTATACGACCATCCACCTCCCATCCACCTCCATCCACCTCCCATACACGTTCATCCACCTCCAATACACGTCCATTCACCTCCCTATACTTCCATCCACCTCCCATACACATCCATCCACCTCCTATACACTTCCACTCACCTCCCATACACGTCAATCCACCTCCCATACACGTCCATCCACCTCCCATACACGTCCATCCACTTCCCATACACGTCCACCCATCTCCCATACACGTCCATCCACCTCCCTATACTTCCATCCACCTCCCATACACATCCATCCACCTCCTATACACTTCCACTCACCTCCCATACACGTCAATCCACCTCCCATACACATCCATCCACCTCCCATACATGTTCATCCACTTCCCATACACGTCCAACCCACCTGCCTATGCGACCATCCACCTCCCATCCATCTCCATCCACCTCCCATACACGTTCATCCACCTCCCACACACGTCAATTCACCTCCCATACACGTTCATCCACCTCCCACACACCTCCATCCACCTCCCATACACGTCCATCCACCTCCTACACACGTCCATGAACCTCCCTATACGTCCATGCACCTCCCATACGTCCATCCACCTCCCATACACGTTCATCCACCTCCCTATACGTCCATCCATCTCCCAAACACGTCCATCCACCTCCCGCACACGTCAATCCACCCCCAATACACGTCCATCCACTTCCCATACACGTCCACCCACCTCCCTATACGACCATCCACCTCCCATCCACCTCCATCCACCTCCCATACACGTTCATCCACCTCCCATACACGTCCATCCACCTCCCATACACGTCCATCCACCTCCAATACACGTCCATCCACCTCCCATTCACGTCCATCCACCTCCCATGCACGACCATCCATCTCCCATCCACCTCCATCCACCTCCCATACACGTTCATCCACATCCCATACACGTCCATCCACCTCCCACACACGTCCATCCATTTCCCGAGACACGTTCAAATACAAGTTATATTAGCCTGTAAGATGGTGCCCTCACGATTTTACTTGTTTTTCACAGCTTCACCGTGAGCGTTATGCAAAGTCGTCCATTCGAACTCCTCGTGCGACTAGCCGTATATATTGACCACGACAGTTGCAAACAAACAATCGCCTTCGGGATCCGAAGGGGATGTGGATTTCCTTCAGATGTTTCCTTTTCGGCGGACAAGCGAATAGATCTTATTCTGCAGTTTGATCGCTCTGTGTATCAGGTAAGGGAGTAGTTTTAAAGTTCGATGTCGGCTCAACGTCTTACTTCCAGTTTAAGTTTAAGTTTAAGGCTTAAGTTTTCAAAACCAACGGACAATCCCGAAATGGAAATTAGAAAATAAATAAAAAGAACCGGTACATTACTACAATAATTTATAGCTGTTTGGATGAAGCCATTATCCTAAAAAAATGCTTTTAGAATATGTCCCCCGCAACCCATTGCTAGTCTAAAGAGCCGGCTAAATTGGGATTAGAAGGGGTCACAAGCAACTTATGCTGGTCGTAACATTGGTTTAATGAGTTGGTTGGTTAGACGCCGTGGAATAGCAATCATTGGATTGATTGATCTAGAGTCGATTATGTACAGGCCGCTTTCATATAGCTTGAATACTGTTTGTTAAACAACAAACCCTCCACACCACACCACACCACACCACACCACACCACACCACACAGCGTACGCACGCACACATACACACACACACGCCACCGCACACACTATAAAACAATGTCGCTCGGTCTGCATGCACGCACGTACGCACACACACACATTATACAACAGTGTCGCTGCAGCTGCATGCACGTACGCACTTCCGCGAAAACACGCGCAACTCACGCGCGCACACGAACACACACACAAAACATACACACACACACCAGCACACACACACACACACACACACACACACCAGCACACACACACACACAAGCACACACACCAGCACACACACACACACACCAGCACACACACACACACACACACACACACACACACACACACACACACACACACACACACACACACACACACACACACACACACACACACACACACCAGCACACCAGCACACACACACACACGCACATACACACACCAGCACACACACACACACCAGCACACACACACACCAGCACACGCACACACACACCAGCGCACGCACGCACACGCACACGCACACGCACGCACACACACACACACACACACACACACACACACACACACACACACACACACACACACCAGCACACACACACCAGCACACACCAGCACACACACACACCAGCACACACAAACATAGACAAAAACAGAGTAGCTCGAGTTCCTTGTACACATACACCTGAGCTTGGTTTAAGTGTTAAAGAATCTTCTCGAATATTTTATGTGCCTTCAATTACTTTTGTCATCCGTCTCATTAATAACTGGTTTTTTATTCTACTTTGATATCTTCAATGCGAAGTAGGATGAGGGTCACTGAAAATGTGAAATTTTATAATGGCAGACAACTCTGAAATAGCAGTATCATCATTTTCTCACATGTTTACATGGCTGACAATTAGTCATTTGGCTTCCTACACCTTTGGACTGACACGTACACAATCACGGCTAAAATTTGTTAAAATGACGGATTTTAAATGTTATTTTTCTTCTAACAATGTTTATGTACTGAATTTATTTACATCATATAACAAAATCAGAGAGGGTCAAAGACTAGCTCATGAATACAGTGTAACCTTGTGCATGAGTTTCGTTTAATATAAGTCCCAAACATGCAGTTGTTGAAATGAAGAAAGTCTTATTCTTCATATGAGTGAGTTAGTGAGTATGGGTTCACCCCGCTTTTAGCAATATTCCCGCAATATCACAGCGGTGGACATCAGAAATGGGCTTCACACATACCTACCTATACAAACATACCCATATGAGAAATCGATCCTGGGCTTTCGGCATGACGAGCCAACGCATTAACTAGGCTACCCCACCGCCCCTTCTTTATATGAACACATGTGATAACATTCATAATAATGTGTAAATCTTTTCCCCATTTGTTATTGCACTGGGATTTTGTCATACGTTTTCCATCATTCATTGCGTATACAATGTTTACAGCTGATGATCCAGGGGAGAGTACTCGCTACGTACAACGCGACGAATGGGATAAACGCAAGTCGCATCGTGCCCTTCGGAGACGTCAACGTAACGGAAATAACGATGGAATACTAGAGCAATGGAATCGTCGAGGAAGAATAGTTGTTTCAACTGCGGATACGTAGAGCGGAGTTGGAGTTATCTGAATAACATGCTCCCTTCAGGATATAAGGCAACGCGATTCACCGGGAACAAGAAGATTTTGGTCAATAATCGGGTGTCTAGATCTTCATTAGTGTTTAGACCCGTGAAGATTCCGTGATAGAATAGGTCTTCAGCAACCCATGCTTGCCGTAAAAGGCGACTATGCTTGTCGCGAAAGGCGACTAACGGGATCGGGTGGTCAGGCTCGCATGTCATCGATCCCAATTGCTTGGATCGATGCTCATGATATTAATCATTGGATTGTCTGGTCCAGACTCGATTATTTACAGACCGCCGTCATATAACTGTAATATTGCTGAGTGCGGCGTAAAAAAACAAACCAAACCAAACCATTAGTGTTTAAAGTGTTAATCGTGGTAACTGCTAAATTTAAAAATCATCAGTACGATGAAAGCAAATGTCCTAGCATTGCCACTTGCCCATTGGTAAAGCAATTTTAGCAATTTTACAGCAGTATCACGAGGAGTCCAGGAAAGGGCTTTACATAATGTACCTATGAGGGGAATCGAACAAGGTCTTTCGGCGTGACCTGCGAACGCTTTTAACTTCCAGGCCACCCTACCGCCCATTGATTTGTTTGTTTGTTTGTTTGTTGTTCAACGCCGCACTCAACAGTATTTCAGCTATATGAGGGCAGTCTGTAAATAATTGAGTCTGGATGATCCAGTGATTGACATCATGAGCAACAATCCACGTACATGTAATTGGGATACGATGACATGCATCAACAAGTCAGCGATTCCGTTAGTCGCCTCTTACGACAAGCATAGTCGCCATTTACGACAAGCATGGGTTGCTGCAGACCTTTTCTACTCCGGATCTTCACGGGTCCTGCCCATTGATTAAAAGTAATGTTTGCGTATACAGTTGAATGCTTGTCGTTAAGGCGACAAACTGGATGGGGTTGCTTTTGTGCGCACATCAACGTGGATAATCGCTCATAGTATCAACCACTGGTTTGTCTTGTCTCGATCGATATGTTTGAAGTGTTTCTATCTGCGACAAATAATAAGAAGGGCCTATCTTTTTTAGTCAAAAGGTTTTTTCGCTTCCAAAAGAATAGTATTTACAATTATTTACAGCAGTGAAGGCTAAATACGAGTAGGATATTGTTGTAACTGCGTTAGGGTGTCAAGTGGGGCCCTGCTACAGTTATCTAAATGTATTGTCGTTCCTTGTCTTCATGACTTCAGCATCGGGTCATCAAAGTCAAGGAGAAATTGGTCTATCGACGCATTCATACTCGCATAATAAAGTAACGCAACAACAGCTTTATACTCACATTAGTTTTACTAACTCTCAGTCCATCTATCAATACACGACATGGTCAGCCGGCCTGGCTCGTCACTGATTGGGAAACTTGGAACGATCGGGATTCGAACCGATCGACTTCATAAACCGTGCACTCTTCTCCCAATGTTGACGGTATCATTTTAATGTGTTCGGGTCTGGCCTGTCTTTGTCACATGTCCTCATGGATGAAAACAGTTTAGAACTATAAAGGGCAATGAACTCGTGTTCCGATTCTACTAACCGATGTCTGTTGATTACTTGGCGACAACACCGAAATATAACTATCTTCGCCCTAATGATTTCCCGCTTCTTTATCTCCCTCGTTTTAAAGCTATAACCGCTAATTTAAAAGTTGACTTCGTATTAATTGCGTATGCATTTTTTAAACTTATAACAATACAAACATGTCTGAGACGTTGTGTTATATTATAACAAGTTTGGGCAAACAATAATTGCATGTTTTCAATAGTTATTAAATGACAAAACCGAACCAGGTATGATTAATTAACATAAGTGGTGTCTGCATAATTAGCAGTTTCCACAAGGCTCAAACGTGTGTCGTCATTACCTTGACCATTCAATGAAATATTGACTTCATCCTTTATTGTGTTTTTTTCACATCTTAGGTATATGTGCTAATCAATATAATGCCTGGCCGAATTTAAACCTTGAAACAAGGCATTAGGCGTGGAGGGGGAGGGGGGAGGGGGGAGGGAATGGGCGTGGTGTGTTGTGCCGTGTGTGTGGTGCGTAGTGTGGTGCTTGTGGTGAATAGTGTGGTGCGTATTGGGCTTAGCATGGTGCGTAGTGTGGTGCCTGCCCATGGTGCATAGTGCGGTGCGTGTTGGACGAAGTGCGGTGCGTGGTGCGTAGTTTGGTGCTTGTGGTGAATAGTGTGGTGCGTCTGGGGCTTAGCGTGGTGCGTAGTGTGGTGCCCATGGTGCATAGTGCGGTGCGTGCTGGACGTAGTGCGGTGCGTGGTGCGTAGTTTGGTGCGTCTGGGGCTTAGCGTGGTGCGTAGTGTGGTGCCCATGGTGCATAGTGCGGTGCGTGCTGGACGTAGTGCGGTGCGTGGTGCGTAGTTTGGTGCGTCTGGTGCTAAGGGTGGTACGTAGTGTGGTGCGCGTGGTGCCCGTGGTGCGATGCGTTGGGTGCGTAGTATGGCGCGCGTGGTTTGCGTGGTGCGTAGTTTGGTGGGCGTGGAGCGTCCAGTGGTGCGCGTGATGCGTGTGATGCGTAGTGTGGTATGTGTCTGTGTGTGTGTGGACGGGGATGGTGGTGAGGGACTGTAGTGTGTTTTGGTGGTGTGTGTGGTTTGTAGGTGTGTGGTGGGGGGTCTGTGGGGGTCGGGGGGATGGGGGGGGGGGGGGGGGGGGTCAATGAGGATGGGAGTGTGTGGTTCGTTGTGCGGTACGTAGTGTGGTGCACGTGGTTCGTAGTTTGTCCTTGACGTCGATATGTGGTCAATTGTGCTTCTCCCTCATCTGAAATCAATTTGCTCCTAAATAATTATACTATTTAGCTTTGTCCTTGACGTCGATATGTGGTCAATTGTGCTCCTCCCTCATCTGAAATCAATTTGCTCCTAAGTGTTTATACTATTTAGTTTTGTCCTTGACGTTATATTTAACACATTGCAATATAGCCTGTATATGTTACAGTCAGTGTGTAAAATGACAGACATTTTCATTTTGGCAATTATTTTTTTGATAATCAATGTACATTTTAAATATTTTAGCTTCTAATGCCAGCATGATTAGTTTATTGTAATGATTTTTAGACCTTTTGGACTTCTCAATATCTTTCAGTCAATCTGACCAAAAAATAAGTGTAAAATTATTCAAATAATTTGGCGTTTTGCAAATTGTCGAAGTGAACATTTTAATCATTTTACACATTGGCTGCAACATATACCTACTACTCAAAAGGAGTTTAAAAACACCCGATTTTTTCCATATGACGATAAATAGTCTTCAGCAAATCCATGCTTGTCAAATGGGATCGGGTGGTCGGGCAAGCTGACTTAGCTGATGCATGCCATCATATCTCAATTGTGTAGATCGATGGTCATGATGTCAATCACTGGATTGTCTGATTCATACGCTATCATTTACCGGGCGTAGCTGGAATATTACAGAGTGTGGCGTTAAACAAACAAATATGAATATTCTTGACCACCGGCATTTAGGCGAGAACTAGGAATCCCAGTAGTCTCAGACTGTGCTCCCTTTCTTGCTCATCTGTTTCTTTGTGCATATGAATCGGAATATTCTCCTCGGACTGGCAAACTCAGAACGAGATGATTTGGCCAAAAGTAATGCCACGGTACGAGAGAGGCGCTATTTGTCCTGTCAAAATCGTCTTTTGAAAATAACACCCTTATTGTTACACTTGAAGAGCTTGAGAAGAAACAAACCCATAGAACTGTTTCTAAAATATTTATAGATAAATCACTACCGCCTGTAGAGTTACCATATTTAGCACTGTGGATTTCGCTGATCAATTGGACTACAGTAAAAGGTTTATGTAGGTTACATTCTTGCTGGTGGCTATGTTTGTTTTCAATTGGAGAAACAGTCTTGGATGCAGACAAGCTACGAGGAGATTGATTATTCAGTGGAGTTGTATGGTTTGTTTAAATTATCCATTTATCTTGGACGTCCGGTAGGGAGTTATTTCTATCGCAACAAATCTACGCCATTCATTACCTACGCCCAATTTCTCAGTGGCCTTCCGCGGTGAGTGAGTGAGTGAGTGAGTGAGTGAGTGAGTGAGTGAGTGAGTGAGTGAGTGAGTGAGTGAGTGAGTGAGTGAGTGAGTGAGTGAGTGAGTGAGTGAGTGAGTGAGTGAGTGAGTGAGTGGTTTGTTGGTTTGTGGTTAGTTGGTTGGTTGGTTGAGCGGAGGGGTTGGTTGAGTGGAGCGGTTGGTTGAGTGGAGTGGTTGAGTGGAGTGGAGCGGTTGAGTAGAGTGGTTGGTTGAGTGGAGTTGTTGAGTGGAGTGGTGGGGTGGAGTGGTTGGTTGAGTGGAGTGGTTGAGTGGAGTGGTTGGTTGAGTGGAGTGGTTGGTTGAGCGGAGTGGTTGGTTGAGTGGAGTGGTTGGTTGAGTGGAGTGGTTGGTTGAGTGGAGTGGTTGGTTGAGTGGAGTGGTTGGTTGAGTGGTTTAGTGGAGTGGTTGGTTGAGTGGAGTTGAGTGGAGTTGAGTGGAGTGGTTGGTTGAGTGGAGTGGTTGGTTGAGTGGAGTGGTTGAGTGGAGTGGTTGGTTGAGTGGAGTGGTTGGTTGAGTGGTTAAATGGAGTGGTTAGTTGAGTGGAGTGGTTGGTTGAGTGGAGTGGTTGAGTGGAGTGGTTGGTTGAGTAGAGTGGTTGGTTGAGTGGAGTGGTTGAGTGGAGTGGTTGAGTGGAGCGGTTGGTTGAGTAGTTGGTTGAGTGGAGTTGTTGAGTGGAGTAGTTGAGTGGAGTGGTTAGTTGAGTGGAGTGGTTGAGTGGAGTGGTTGGTTGAGTGGAGTGGTTGGTTGAGTAGAGTGGTTGGTTGAGTGGAGTGGTTGGTTGAGTGGTTGAGTGGAGTGGTTGGTTGAGTGGAGTTGTTGAGTGGAGTGGTTGAGTGGAGTGGTTGGTTGGGTGGAGTGGTTGGTTGAGTGCAGTGGTTGGTTGAGTAGAGTGGTTGGTTGAGTGGAGTGGTTGAGTGGAGTGGTTGAGTGGAGTGGTTGAGTGGAGCGGTTGGTTGAGTGGAGTTGAGTGGAGTGGTTGAGTGGAGTGGTTGGTTGAGTGGAGTGGTTGAGTGGAGTGGTTGGTTGAGTGGAGTGGTTGGTTGAGTGGAGTGGTTGAGTGGAGTGGTTGAGTGGAGTGGTTGGTTGAGTGGTTGAGTGGAGTGGTTGGTTGAGTGGAGTTGAGTGGAGTTGAGTGGAGTTGAGTGGAGTTGAGTGGAGTTGAGTGGAGTGGTTGGTTGAGTGGAGTGGTTGGTTGAGTGGAGTGGTTGAGTGGAGTGGTTGGTTGAGTGGTTGAGTGGATTGGTTAGTTGAGTGGAGTGGTTGAGTGGAGTGGTTGGTTGAGTGGAGTGGTTGGTTGAGTAGAGTGGTTGGTTGAGTGGAGTGGTTGGGTGGAGTGGTTGAGTGGAGCGGTTGGTTGAGTAGTTGGTTGAGTGGAGTTGTTGAGTGGAGTGGTTGGTTGAGTGGAGTGGTTAAGTGGAGTGGTTGAGTGGAGCGGTTGGTTGAGAAGTTGGTTGAGTGGAGTTGTTGAGTGGAGTGGTTGAGTGGAGTGGTTGGTTGAGTGGAGTGGTTGAGTGGAGTGGTTGGTTGGGTGGAGTGGTTGAGTGGAGTGGTTGGTTGAGTGGAGTGGTTGGTTGAGTAGAGTGGTTTGTTGAGTGGAGTGGTTGAGTGGAGTGGTTGAGTGGAGCAGTTGGTTGAGTAGTTGGTTGAGTGGAGTTGTTGAGTGGAGTGGTTAAGTGGAGTGGTTGGTTGAGTGGAGTGGTTGAGTGGAGTGGTTGGTTGAGTGGAGTGGTTGAGTGGAGTGGTTGGTTGAGTGGAGTGGTTTGTTGAGTGGTTGAGTGGAGTGGTTGGTTGAGTGGAGTTGTTGAGTGGAGTGGTTGAGTGGAGTGGTTGGTTGGGTGGAGTGGTTGAGTGGAGTGGTTGGTTGAGTGGAGTGGTTGGTTGAGCGGAGTGGTTGGTTGAGTGGAGTGGTTGAGTGGAATGGTTGGTTGAGTGGAGTGGTTAAGTGGAGTGGTTGGTTGAGTGAAATGGTTGGTTGAGTGGTTGAGTGGAGTGGTTTGTTGAGTGGAGTTGAGTGGAGTTGAGTGGAGTTGAGTGGAGTGGTTGGTTGAGTGGAGTGGTTGGTTGAGTGGAGTGGTTGAGTGGAGCGGTTGGTTGAGTAGCGCGGTTGGTTGAGTGGAGTGGTTGGTTGAGTGGAGTGGTTGGTTGAGTGGTTGAGTGGAGTGGTTTGTTGAGTGGAGTTGAGTGGAGTTGAGTGGTTGGTTGAGTGGAGTGGTTGGTTGAGTGGAGTGGTTGAGTGGAGTGGTTGGTTTAGTAGCGTGGTTGGTTGAGTGGAGTTGTTGGTTGAGTGGTTGAGTGGAGTGGTTAGTTGAGTGGAGTGGTTGGTTGAGTGGAGTGGTTGAGTGGAGTGGTTGGTTGAGTAGAGTGGTTGGTTGAGTGGAGTGGTTGAGTGGAGTGGTTGATTGGAGCGGTTGGTTGAGTGGAGTGGTTGGTTGAGTAGAGTGGTTGAGTGGAGCGGTTGACTGGAGTGGTTGGTTGAGTGGAGTGGTTGGTTGATTGGAGTGGTTGAGTGGAGTGGTTGAGTGGAGTGGTTGAGTAGAGTGGTTGAGTTTAACGCCGCTTCGACCAGAAATAATGAATGAGCGGCTTCACACATTTTCCTACTACGCTGGACACCTACTTCTCTGGTACGGGCGCTGTGCCGAGTTGCGTCCCTTGGGCTCGTCAGAAACCTGTGATTTAGGGTTCGAATCCCAGTTCGCCCTGATTATTATTCTAGGTTTTCAGGACCATACCCGTGCTCGTTGGTTTCACCAAAGTGGTAAACGTCTGAACGGGCTTTTCTCCCACTGTAAGCTGACACTACATTTTGGGGTTAGTGGCAAACTACTTTTGGGGGTAGTAGCAAATATAATTTAGGTGCATGCTAGTTCACTGGCCCTCCCCAATGACACGGTCCCCATGTTATCAAACAAACATTAACTCCTTGATCCCTTGATCCAGGAGGAGTCGGCCTCTCAGTGTGCTCCCATTTTTACACCCAAATTTTCCCTAACCTTTTAACCACCCGTTTCGTTTAACTAGTTATACAACATACAATGGGAAGAAAAATCGAACTAAAACATGAGAAAATGTGTTTATTAACAGCTGACTTGATGAACATGAGGTGATTGTACAAACTGTTCACTTTCCCACACACGACAGTTTAATATAATAATTATTGAACTAATTGCGTAGTTAATCATTTAGTATGACCACAGAACAGTAATACTACTTGTGTATGTTTGTCTGAACTCATGGGACAGACAGTTGACATGGATTTCATCTTCTGCGGGGAGGGAAGGACACGCTTAACCTTTCCGTGAACAATGATTTTTAGTCACCTGGGGACACGGGTGGCCAAGCCGTCTGAGGCGCCGCGATTCGCTGTGCAGAGTTGCGTCCCTTTGACACGCCAGAAATCTGTAATTGTGGGTTCGAATCCCGGTTAGCCCCAATTATCTTTCTAGGTTTGTCATCACCATACCCGTGCTCGTGGGTTTCATCGAAGTGGTAAACGTCTGAGACTTGCTTTCCTCCCACATTAAGCTGACACGCCGTGATAAAACTGGAATACTGTTAAAAGCGGCTTTAAACCCAACTCACTCAATTTAATCACCTATTCATATAATTCTCAACGCTGTTTTTCTTTTTGAGCACAATGGAATCTATTTCCATAGATACTCAAGTCGTGGCGTAGACATTTTATATTTATTCTTTAAAAGGGTGCAATTGCTAGAACCTACATCAAATCTTCATTCTTACTTCAACTTCTAAAATAAAGATATTACCCTATCCTTTCTTCGTTTTACCCTGGAACCACTTTCATTTCGTATGAGAACAATCTCGGACCACATTAAATCAAATCGAGGCACATACATCTTTCGATTAAAATTGAGGAAGCTATTAGTACATACCCCATGAATCTTTCGGGCTCCGGGTTCATTACATGATATACAGTAAACTACGGTTATAACGAACTCAAATGGACCACTAATTTTAGTTCGTTATAACCGTAGTTCGTTATAATCATATATACAACAACTATATAGCAAATGGCCGGGGCCAAAAATAAAGTTCGTTATATCCGTCTGTTCGTTATAAGCGTGTTCGTTATAAACGTATTTTACTGTATACTGGATATATTAGAGATCTGTTCTCGATTACACCATCGGGATCAGTTTACAGAAAAGTGGAAGTGATTAAGGGTTCTAGTAGAGAGAACAGTTTATGTTTCATATGCTCGTCTTTTCCCAAAGCACGAATAATGTTTGGGATTTGCAGTTTGAGCTAACACATGCCAACATATTGCCTCACGGATGATAGATGCAGGAAGCGAAATTGTGGATCAACATGCTCCAGCCGGACCTCGACATGGAGGCAAATACTGACTTTCTAGTTGTTCCCGTCTAAAATATACGTGCGAAAATACAACACTAGTCAACACTAAGATCTACGCTGACAACGACTCAAGAGACTCAGCCGGATGAGAAAAACTAAATTTCTTTTCACATTGGATCCCTGGATTCCAAATACTAAAATAATTAAGAAATAGGCTAATAAAGCGCTTGTATTAGAGGGGTAAACACCGCATGTATTCAGTTGTATCAGGGCGTATCAGATCCGTGTCGGGTGAAATCTTTAAGAACAAGTGTTTACTTCTTTGGGGAACCGCGGGACACCATTACTGACAGAACAAGGAACATTCTCGGGTTAATCTGGATTTTGATCCAATGTTCCACACAAAGATATGCCGAAGGCGCCTAAAATACGATAACTCTGGAACAGTGCGCACTCATATTGCAATCTTAACCAAATGGGGATCTTATAACCTGACCTTCCGGTGTGTCTTCTCATTACCATCCTATTCTACCGAGAACCTATTCACCACTGCGAGTACAGGGTCAACAATTCGAACAGAGCCTCTAGCCTAAGTTTTACCACCTGTTATTCGATGGCCAAAATAACCTGGCGGTATCACCAGTCATGTTGTCATGGCCGTCATTCCTTGTTTGAAGCTTGGTTAGAATAGGTCCACAACATGAAGAGGAGACTAAGCTGGATCGAGTTATCTGGCTGGCTGACTGTGCGCTAGCATTCCCCGATGGACCGTTGTTCATGTTTTCAGTCATTGGTTTGTTTTATCCAGAGTCGATGGAGAGTCGTTGTATGGCTGGAATATTGCTTAATGTGTCGTTAAATACGTTAACAGTATCAATCACGCCTTAGCAGGGAAACCTACTTGTGATCGTGAACAATACATTTCACCACTCCAGTCTGTCTCTCATTTCTAGTACAAGATTAAGAAACATTTGTGCCTTCATCAAATTTAGTCCAAACCCATAATGAGTGCCATCAGGAGTTGCTACTCCTTTCGTCATGTTAAAAGTATCGAACACAGTCACGCCATATCGTTCCATCCTGTCTCTCATCAACTGGTTAAAAATCCTTGTCTTGTACAGTTCTTCTTCGATGTCGACTTTGCTGACAATCACAGATCTTGAATGGACTGTAGACCAAATTACCTTTGGCCACACGCTTCCATTGTCTATTTGGTTTTGTAGGAATGGCCATAAGAATTTATGGAATACTTTTGTAAAATCGTAGTCCTCATGTAAACCAATACCTGCCACTAATAAGGATTTGTTTTCATTGTAAAGGCTTGTGCCTAAGTCAAGGAAGGTTTTGGAGAAGGGTGATCTAAAATATTCAAAAAACTTAAGCCTGACAGAATTGTTACAAACAGTTACATTCCGTTTAATCCAGAAAAGGCAAACCTTCTCGGTGAGTATCTTCCATCCTGCACATCGATTCTGGATATCTGTAGAAAGAAATGATTAAAAGGCGTTATTTCATAAACAGTACAGCGACATGAGTTTTGAGCGGAAAAAGTAACCGAACGTCACATAATAGGCGTATTTACCATGGTAAATCATTGGCATGGGTATGATGCTGACAAACAAGGAATAATACTTGTAAAGAATCTGGGATTCAAGCCCACGATAAAAGTGTCTTGGCGCAGCTATTGAGGGTATTTTTGTTTTTGTTGTTGTTTTCCGCAACAATCAGCATTATCTCAACTATATGATAGCCGCTTGTAAATTATGACTTCTGGGCTAGAGGTGAGGTGAAATGGGGTTAAACGGCGCGTCCAAAATTATTGCACTTATATTGCGACGTGCATGCATGTGTGTATGGCTGCTTGTACTAGTCTAGACTTATGCCGATTTTGTAGTGCTACCCCACTGAGATACCATGCAGCAGTTTAACATGAAGACTCAGACACAGTATACTGACTCCGAGTCGACCAGTCCTTGTCTTAGCCCCTTAATGCCGAGCGCCAGACAGAGTAACAAGTACCACTCTCCGATCAGACGCTCTACCAGCCGTCCAGGCTATTAACGTCCAACACAGGCATGGTACGAGGTTACGCACTGAAGCATGTGACATTAAGACGCCTCTTACGACCAACAACGGAATATAGGGAATCTATTGTTATCCGGGTTTAAATGGGTTAAGGCCAGAGTAGAATCAACATTGTTAAAAGGGCGTCCTCCAATCGTTACAATTTGTGACGCACAATCCTGATGCACGCCATTGTGATACTGTAGTAATATTGATGTGTTTGAACATCCTCGCTCTATCTTTGTAGTGTGGAAACAATGAGAGATGAAATACTTGCCCTAAATCATGACATATTGGTTTTCGTGGTTTTCAACTACAAATATCCTACTTCATTATTCATTTGTACACTTAACAGATATACCTTTCGGAGCGTTGCTGTCAATAGCTCCATCGTGGCCATTGTTTGTGAGCACAGTGAGTAGAACAGTGTAGAGATGGCGCATCAGAGAGTCTCCGACAAAAGCAACTGTCGCACCCTGTAGAAGGTCACATGCTTCCTTGGCTGTGAAGTTCTTCACCATACATCGGGAATCTTCAGGCTGCCAGGTTGAGTACTCGGCATGAATCAGATTCCGAAGATCTTGACAGCCCGGGCACTTGCAGTCTTTAAAGGTTTTGTTGACACAAATATTATCATTGCAACATGGCGTCGGCCCATCCGGATCACACAGCGCGCGAAACCATCCATTCCCGCCATCAGACGACACGCTGAAACACTTCCCATCACTCCTCTGGAGCGTCTCTGCCACACCATGTTCCCTTCTAGCTGAAAATATATAATCATCTACTTTTTGTTTTTCCAAGGACGTTAAGGGTCGAGTCCGCCATCTTCCCCGCATCATGCATTCTCCCACATCCGGGCATTTCCCAACTCCTGCGAGCCCCAAATGGGCAAAATTATTTGTATTGCAGACATCTGGCTCCACTGTTTGTATTATTTGGTATTCTTCCTGAGTCATCATATATAATACTGTAAAGATCCCAAATAGGAATGTAATGACTTTCATTGATCTGATTTTGACACATCTGCGCGATAACATATTGAAGATGGGTTTCATCTTTTTTCCAAGTTAATGCCACTCTGAAATTTAAACAAGAGATAAAATATTTGTTGTATTAATATTATGTATACATAAAACCAAAGGTTAATAGTGGGAATTTAAAATTCATAAATTAGATTACGATATATTTGAGAGAGTTGAGTTGAGTTTATAGTCACTTTTAACAGTGTCTCTGTTATATCATGACGGATCATCAGCTTAGTGTTAGAGAACGAGATGAAGGTACGGAGATGCGAGTCTCAGATATAATACGGATAGATGATATACCAATAACAATTTAAGTGTATATATGATATACAATATATTCAAAAGGAGTAACACCCGATTATTTTCATACGTCTTCAGCAAACCCATGCTTGTCTAATGGGATCGGGTGGTCAGGCAAGCTGACTTAGCTGATGCATGCCATCATATTAATCATCTTTATTTCGTAGATCGATGGTCATGATGTCAATCACTGGAATGCCTGGTTCATACGCTATCATTTACAGGGCGTAGCTGGAATATCACTGAGTGTGACGTGAAGCAAACAAATATAAGTATTCTTGAGCACCGACATTTAGGCGAGAACTAGGCATCCCAAAAGTCACAAACTGTTCTCCCTTTCTTGCCCATCTGTTTCTTTGTGCATATGAATCGGAATATTCTCCTCGGGTTGGCAAACTCAGAACGAGATAATTTGGCCAAGAAAATCAACTTAAGCTTCAGGTCTGTCGATGATCTGATATCGTTCAATAACCATCAAACTGCCAATTCCTTTCACACACCTAAACTAAAAATAAACGCCCAGCGAGGTCGCCTCGTGTGTCTCATATTTAGATCTGTGCATGAAGATTCAGAGTGACAAAACACTTTCCACAAGACAGTATGACAAGAGGGGTGACTGCAACTTTCCAACAGTCAACTTTCCCTTTATGTCGAGCAGTATTCTCGGCAGCTACAGCCTTGGTGTCCACATTTCACAACATTTGACGTACAATCGAGCATAATCTTTCAAACACAATTTCAAAGAGCGGCATACGACTCTTCCTTAAATGCTGTTTACAGACCTTTGTGTGTTTTCCAGTAACCCACGCATGAACCGTTCACTTGAATAAAAGGACCTCGTAACACATAGATATAATCACCAAGTCTGCTATTTCATGTATTACTAAAGCTTGAAAACTAGTAGGGGACAATCAGTGCATACCACTGACCCGAAGGAAGACACACATCAACGTTGCCATGGCACCTGATCAAGCAGTCCATTCCGAAGCGATGCTCTTAATCGTTGTAGGATTATCGAGTTTTGAATGATAACGTCGACTGGTCGTCTATAGAAATTAAATGGCGCAATGACCCGTGAAGATCCGCCTTGGAATTGATGTTCATTCAGTAACCCATGCTTGTCGTAAAAGGCGACTATGCTTTTGTCGTAAGGGGCGACTAACGGGATCGGGTTATCAGGCTCGCTGACTTTATTGTTGCATGTCATCGTATCCCAATTGTGTGGATCGATGCGCATGATGCCAAACACTGGATTGTCTGGTCCAGACCCGATTATTTTACAGACCGCCGTCATATAGCTGTAACATTGCTGAGTGCGGCGTTAAACAACAATTAAACAAACAAAAGGCGCAATGTCAAAACTTTAAAATATATTTGAAAAGTATATGTACTACTCAAAAGAAGTTAAAGAACATCCGATTCTCTCATATTTCTTATATTGGCATGTGAGATTAAATATAGTAATAAGGAATCTGGTGTTCTTTTACTTCACATATTTTGGCCTGGACATTAGCCTTATACAATGTTCAGCAGTAACACTATAATTATGTACCAGTAATTGTATATTGTATCCATCTGTATAAGTTTCTATTTAAAATGTAACGCGTGACGAATGAATAGTTTAAAACGTTAAATGATATCCAGCTATCGCGTTCAGTTCAAAATGAAACAAGTATCGATTAAAACCTCTACATTGAAAATGCATTCATGTTTATCTAATAATTATTTCTATTGATGTTTGCTTAGCCGCGTGTAAGGTTGATATGTTGATAGTATAAGATAATCAATAACTTTGCTGTCAGGTATTGCCACATAGTCAGCTATCTCAAGAGACCTGGACATTTGGCCCCCTGTGCTATACTCATAGACAAAAGTAAGTCTCTCTTGTGTATCATATTGTGACCCCATTCACATTGGAAGATTGAAGAGTACCGCTGTTAACTTGGTGCAAAGTTGCCCAATAGCCCACTATCTACTGATTTTTAAAATCACTAATTAAAAGTCGGTAGGTTAAAAAGGCATTGTACAGGATTGTTGTAATCAACTTAAAATTTGATTTCGATCGGTAGGTGGTAAAATATATATTGACCTGGTTTGGGTCCTTAAATATATTATGAATCATTTTTATTATCAAAGAGATCGATCTGTACCGTCTGCGGTATTTCTAATTTTAATTTTGTTTTCTGAATGTTGAATTCGACAGATCCGTAAGCCAATAAAACAATGTAAGACTAAAGTTTGAAGTTAGCTGCTGTTACCGTAACTGTGCTCTCTCTATAAACGAGACCCGTGAAGATCCGAAGAAGAATAGGTCTTCAGCAACCCATGCTTACCGTAAAAGGCGACTATGCTTGTCGAAAGAGGCGACTAACGGGATCGGGTGGTCAGGCTCGCTGACTTGGTTGATGCATGTCATCGATCCCATTTGCGTGGATCGATGCTCATGATATCAATCACTGGATTGTCTGTTCCAGACTTGATTATTGACAGACCGCCGTCATACAGGTGGAATATTGTTGTTAAACAACAAACCAACCAACCAACTCTATAAACGATTTTGATATTGCCTTGTCACTACACAGAGCTACAGACTGTCCAATAGTGTTTTAACAACAGTTTTTTCAGTTACATAAAACAAACTCGGTATACTTTCTTTTGCCACGCAGTTTATTAGGAAATTTGATTATGCTCATTTAACCATCACTCATTCCTCCAACAGTTTGTAAAAGTAATCTGTGTTGGGTAATCTCGTGTAAAAATAAACTGGTTCGATCAAGACTGGGAAGGAAATGAATTTGCATCCACATGACCCCCTGCCAAGTTTGAAATGTAAATATTTACCGAAAAGAGCGAATTTTCAAAGATAAGATGCCTTAGATACCGATCGGCAGTTGTGTATTATGTGAAATTATTTGTTTTATTGTTTTAAATCAAATTATATTTTTTTAAATTAAAAACATTTAGAAGTATTCTTTGAGTGCTGACTAAGCACCAGTACAGTTAAAGTTTTGAATATAATATGGCTAACTTAACGTATATTCAATTGAAAATCAAGCATATATTGAATCATCTGAGATTTATAATTTCTTTTCCCCTCAGTTTATTTCTAGATCCAATTCTGCTGCGCACTTTATAAGCTTCCGCAAAGTGTTTCCGTTGTAATCGAACGATAATCCCTTCATAAGACACTTGCCTTTAAATACGAGTTTAGATCAATCAACAGTATATTGACTTTTATTGACCCATCCCGAAACACCAAACACACACACACACACACAACAGTCGGACCCTGATCGGTTGTCGCTGTAGTCTTCTATACATATAACTTGCTTTGTATCCTGAACGATTCCTACACATTGTATAGCTTAGTCTGCAATTAGCCTCGTAGTCCGGGGTTACATGAGGGTCTGACACGAAACACTTTGCGTTTGTCGTTATCGCCAATGGAGACCCAGCCGTTTACTGGGCTATGTAATTGTAAGAGATGACCTCTTTTTCTACACTCAGATAGAGCTGTTTGGTTTAATACTAGAAGAAGGCGTTAATTCAAAGTGTACTTTTACCACGTTTTTTATTAATACTTCACATGTATACAAAATGTACACAAAGAAGGCATAATCATAAAACACATGTTTGCATCTAACTTGCATCCTTTTTTAGCATATTTAACCTGTAAACGTCAAAATGGCATAGAGTTTATATCACTTTATGATGTTTGTTTGTTTGTTTGTTGTTTAACGCCGCACTCAGCAATATTCCAGCCATATGACGGCTGTAAATAATCGAGTCTGGACCAGGCAATCCAGTAATTGACATCAGAAGCAATAATCAACGCAATTGGGATACGATGACATGTATTAATCAGCCTGACCACCCGATCCCGTTAGTCGCCTCTAACGGCAAGCATGGGTTACTGATGCATGAAGACCTATACTAACCCAGATCTTCACGGGTCTGATGATGTTGGTAAGTGAATCGATTCCATATAGCTTCTCGCGTCTATATTTACTCTAGATAAAAGCGACAAATGCATGTTTATAATAATAATTATAAGAAATCTCGGCCCAAATCACGCCCTTCAAGACGATAGCGGGCAGTTTCGATGGGCTTGTGTAATCATATAAAGGAGTTTGTTTATTTTTTATTTATTATTCAACACGACACCTTTTCAGGTGACACATTCCCACATAGCAGCAGCAGCAGTAGTAGTAGTAGTAGTAGTAGTAGTAGTAGCGGTAGTGGAAGTAAGCTGTTTATTAAGAAAGACATACACATTTAATGTACTATATAAAATAATAGCGTCCAGACAAAATTCACGTTGGGGATTCAAACTTAAAGATTTATAGTACGGCATTTCCATTACAAAAATATATATATGAAAATTAGAAATTTAATAAACAACGTTCTTGCAGCTCAGACATATGAAACGAGAGCTCAGTGTAAGTGTTCGCTCAACGCACGAGACGTAATCACCTGGCATACTATTCACAACCTCTACCCAACACCAGGCATAGTACGGCTTTGTTATCATGGAAACGCTTTGTTTAGTTTAATATTCCTGTCACAGTGCGCGGAAATGCCGAAAAGAACAACAGCGAATTGGATTAGTTTTTCCCATCCTACAACCCGAATGGAACTCTACTGTAAGTGATAGCCCGTTCAATATTGAACGAACAAAGAAAAGTTGTTAAACAATATCCATCATGCATGGTATAGAAAGGTTAAAGAGAAAACAC